GAAACTCTTAATTGAAGGGGATTCAGAGGTGGTGATAGGGTGGCTGCTTAAAGATCACAATGGCTTATGGAARTACAATAATGAGAGGAGGAAATTCAAGTGGCTGGTGCGGGAGATGGAGGTTAAGATACGTTGGGTTAAAAGATCGGCTAATTCCCAAGCTGACGGTTTAGCTAAACAAGGGGCAGAAAGGGATTCACTTTTTTGGGTCAAGCTGTAATTTTAGTGTGTTTTCTTTCTTTTCTCTTTCTTTTTTCCTTTTCTTGAGATTCTTTGTTGCTCTTGGAAGATAAGCGTGTTTGTCTTCCTTTTGTAAATCTTCTATTGATGAATTAATGAAAGTGTTATTGATAAAAAAAAAAAGAAAAGAATAATAGAAGAGAAGAAGAATAACTTGCAGAAAATGGGCCTACCAGTTAAGACATAACCTCCAGTTGGCCAAGCCTCTATTTTTTTTTATCAATTACTCTGAAATGATTTTATTAATTAGAAAAATTATGGTACAACAAGAAGTTGTAAAAGAAACCAGCCTTAGAAGCTGACCCAAGACAGAATTACAAATGTGCCCAAAACATATGTGTTCTTTGAACCCCTTGCTTTGCTAAGCAATCGGCCAAACTGTTGGCTGATCTCCTCACCCATCCCACGTGGATTGTCATGTCCCTTGACAACCATTTAAATCTTCGGAATTCATTCTTCAGCTGCCATGTCACCCCTTCCCCTTTCTGCAACCATTTTATCACAGTTTTTGAGTCTCCCTTGATGATCAGTCTATTAATACCCAACTCTTTAGCCTTCACAACCCCATATGCTGCAGCTAGAAACTCTGCCCTTACCACATCGCCTTGCTCCACAGGACCAGAGTACAGAGCAATGATGTTTCCATCATCTCTAATAGCCCCCCCAATGCCTGAGGGGCCTGGATTACCCACACAACTCCCATCAAAGTTCAGCTTCTTCCAGCCATCTGTTGGAGGAGACCACGCCTCAAAAAGCTGCTGTCTTGTAGATGAAGAGGCAACAATAAGTCCCCAAACCCTAAAGAAGTCTTCAACCTTAAAAACTAAAAACATCTTCAAGCTTTTTGTCCACTGTGCCACCCTCAATGTTATTGTTTCAACCAAGGCTTCCTTACATTCCTCTTTCCCTTCAAATATTTTTGCATTTCTTTCCTCCTAGACAGTTCAAAGTAGTGCTGCTCTAGTACATCTCCATAGGATCTTACCCCTCCTTGTCGTGCCACTAATACCAATAGGGCTGAACAAATCTTCCAATTTGTCAGGAGAAGACCACCTGCACCCAAAAAGGGAAGTAAACCAATTCCAAGTAAATCTGACAAAAGGACAAGATATTAGAAGGTGGAAAACAGTCTCACCATTCATCTTACACAGGACACACCAACTGGGGGACAAACACCAATTTGGTCTTTTTCTTTGAAGTACATCAAAAGTATTAATACAACCATGAAATACTCCCCAACAAAAAGCACTGACTTTTAGGGGGAATGGGAGGGCACCAAATTTCTTTGATTGGGAAAGGATGAGAGGAGGAGGTGGCAACCAAGGAGTGTGGAAAGGATTTACAAGAAAATGACCCGTCAGAATTAAGACCCCAAATCCTAGAATCTGAACTGCCTTCTCCCAAGAACATTGAGTTCAGCAAACCTAACAGCTCGGACACTGCAAGAAGTTCAGACTCTCTATGGTTCCTCTTAAAGCCAAAGTTCCAATTCAACCTTGGGAGATGAGACGGTTGACTTAGTAAATTTGAAATAGCCTTACCCTTGAATCAGGAAAGATCAAAAAGAGAAGGAAATTTCTCACACAAAGGAGTATCTCCAATCCACACATCCTCCCAAAGTGTAATTTTATTACCAGAAGACAAATCATACTTGATATGATTTAGGAGCGTAGGGAGAAAACCATGGATGGCTTTCCAGGGAGCAGCCAAGGTGGCCCTATGGAGACATCCAACATTCCATCTGTTGCTCAACATACCATGAATGATTGCCACAATTTTGTGCCATAATTTCTCATTTTCATTTGGAAACCTCCAAAGCAATTTACTAAACAAGGCCTGATTCTTCAATCTAACATTACCAATTCCCAAGCCCCCTTCATCCTTCAATTTCACCACCTTTCCCCATCTAACCAAATGATCTTTCTTAGTTTCCCTTGGCTCCTAAAGAAAATCCCTCATATTTTTTCAATTTTCCTCACTGTCCCTTGTGGCATCCTAAACATTGACATGTAGTACATTGGAAGATTTGCTAGGGTAGACTTGATAAGAGTTATTCTCCCCCCACCTTTCCCCATCTAACCAAATGATCTTTCTTAGTTTCCCTTGGCTCCTAAAGAAAATCCCTCATATTTTTTCAATTTTCCTCACTATCCCTTGTGGCATCCTAAACATTGACATGTAGTACACTAGAAGATTTGCTACGGTAGACTTGATAAGAGTTATTCTCCCCCCCACCCCAACGAGATATAGTTCCTTTTGCACCCCGCCATGTGTTTCTCAATTCTTTCTATCACCGGAGACCAAAACCAAGCAGATCTAGGGTTATCTCCTAGTTGTAAGCCTGAATATTTCAACGGCCACTCTCCTTTCTCACAACCTAGGGAATCTGCCAGAAGCCTCAATTCATCCTCTTCCATGTTGGTTCAAAATAGTAAGCTCTTTGACCAATTGATCCTAAAGTTGGACATCCTCTCAAAGAGTTTCACAACCAGTCTCCATCAAAGAAAATTAGAATATCATTTGCAAACTGCAAGCGAGTGACCAAAACATTATCCCTCCCCATTGAACAACCCCTGAAAAGCTGCAAATAATTTTCTTTCGAAATCAATTTACTTGGGGCTTTAGTAATCAAAGTAAATAGAAAGGGAGAAAGGAGGTCACCCTACCTAAGCCCATGGAATCCCTCAAAGAAATCATACACTATCCCATTAACTATGATTGAGTAGTGATTAGTTTGCAAACGGCCCTTAATCCATTTGCACCACAAATTTCCAAATCCACACCTCCTCATAATATCAATCAAGAAGTTCCAATCCACCAAATCATAGGTTTTTTCCAAATCCAATTTGATAACCACTCCTTTCTTCTTTAGTGTCTTTTGAGCCTCCACACATTCATTGGCAATTAATATTTGATCAATAATCTATCTATTATGTACAAAGGCCCCTTGAGATTAAGAAACAAGTGGAGTAAATACTGGTGACTAGACTTATTGGTCTGAAATCCCCTGGCTTGTTGGCATTGTTCTTCTTTGGGATCAGTGCTAAAAATGTAGAGTTCATACCCGAACTTATCGCCCCTCTTCTATAGAATTCATTGAACACTCTAAGCAGACCTCCTTTTATTATGTCCCAACAGTCTTGATAGGTGAAACCGTTGGTCCTTGGTGCTTTTGATCTATTCATAGAAAAAACCGCTTCCTTAATCTCTCCCTCTTCAAACCTTTTTTCCAAAATTTGGACTTGAGTCTCCCCTAATGTCTCCCAATTAATGCCTTCAACCCTCCACCTCTCAACTAGGGGTCTTCTATAAATAGACCTGAAATGCTCTGAGAATGCTTTAGCAATCTCATTTTGGTTTGTAACCTCATTTTCCCCCACCAATAGAGAAGTGATCATGCTCTTCCTTCTCCTTCCATTTGCAATGGCATGGAAGAACCTTGTATTTCTATCACCTTCTTTGATCCACCTCTCTCTTGATTTTTGCTTCCAACAAATTTCCTCCCTCAATAAAGTCTCCCCTAGCTCTTTCTTCAAAGGCCATCTCAATTCCCTTTCACCTTCACCTAAGGACCCTATCTTGGAAATCAAGTCAGCTTTCTTCTCCTCTAGTCTTCCAAACTTCTCCTTATTCCACTCCTTGATCTCCTTTTTCAACAATTGGAGTTTCTTTAGGAACTTTTGGCCTTCCCACATTATAGACTGATCCGGGCTATTCCACCAAACCTTCATTTTCTCTTAAAACTCCGGGTGAGTGAGCCACATATTTTCAAATCTAAATGGAGTTGGGCCACCATCATTGATTCTCTTAAACAAACAAATGGGCCAATGGTCTGAGGTAATTCTTGGGAGATTTCTCCCAACTAAACCTGGCCAATGCACTTCCCAATTGGGTGAGAGACTAAAAGCCTATTAAGCTTGGAAAGAATAGGGGTTGTTTGAAGGTTTGACCAAGTATAGTAGGATTGTCCCAGGGGAATATCTCTTAGCTCAAAAGCTTCAATAAAGGAGTTGAATTTCCTCATGCTCGATGTAGTTCTTTGCCTTCCTCCGGATGTCTCACTCACAAAT